CTTATTTATTTATTTTGAGATTTATTGTGCTTATTTTGTGCTATATTTAGATACATTTCTTGTGAGTTTTGTACCTACTTTGGTGTTATTTGACCCGGGTGCGAGTCGGTTCTTTGAGTCCTTAGCTTTTAGTTGTCACATTAGTATCCGACGTGAGGCATTGAGTCGGCCTCTGAAGGTTTCCATAGCCGATGAGCATGTAGTTTTGCTACTGATGTATTCTGAGGATGTGTGTTGGAGATTTTTGGTGTCGAGTTCCCGATAGATCTGGTGCCGATAGCGATGGGTGAGGTATGTGTCATCGTGGGCATGTATTGGTTGAGCCGCTTTGGAGCAGTGATCGACTGTGAGCGTCAATTGGTGAATATATGAGACCCTAGTGGGGGAGTGCTTACAGTGTATGGCGAGGGTACTAGATCTGGGGTCAGATTTCTGCTCTCTGTTGCCAGAGCGAGATAGAGTCTACAACAAGGTTGTATGGGGTTTTTGGTGTATGTGATGGATACGCGGGTTGCCACATAGAGGTCGAGTTCTACCGCCGGGGCACCGATAGTGTGCGAGTTTCTGGATGTTTTACCCGAGGAGTTGTCTTTATGTGCCCCTTGAGAGGCGGGTGGAATTCCGGATTGATTTAGTTCCGGGCGCGATGCCTATTGCCAAGGCACCTTATCGCCTTGCACCACCAGAGATGTAAGAGTTATCCTCGTAGCTTCAGGAGTTGCTGGGGAAAGGATTTATCAGACCAAGTAGCTCACCGTGGGGAGCCCCGGTCCTTTTTGTCAAGAAAAAGGATGGTTCACACAGGATGCGTATTGATTAGCGGGAGTTGAACAAGCTGATGGTCAAGAACCGTTATCCACTTCCGAGGATCGACGATTTGTTTGATCAGTTGCAGGGGGCATCTTGATTTTCCAAGATCGATTTAAGGTATGGATATCATCATATGAGACTCTGCGAGGAGGATATCCATAAGATGGCCTTTAGGACTCGTTATGGGTACTACGAGTTAGTGGTGATGCCTTTCGGGCTCACCAACGTACCGTCAATGTTCATGGATCTCATGAACCGTATGTGTAGGCCTATGTTGGACCGGTCAGTGATCGTGTTCATCGATGACATCTTGGTGTACTCGAGGTCCAGAGAGCAGCATGATGAGCATCTGCGAGAGGTTCTTGGGGTATTGAGGTCGGAGAGTCTGTATGTCAAATTCTCCAAGTGTGACTTCTGGTTACGAGAGGTCTAGTTATTGGGACACCTCATTAATCAGAATGGGATATTTGTCGATCCGGCCAAGATTGAGCCAGTTATGCGATGGGAGGTGTCGAGATCTCCATCGGAGATCAGGAGTTTTCTGGGATTGGCCGGTTACTATCGGAGATTTATCAAGGATTTCTCCAAGATTGCGATTCCTCTCACCAGATTGACCCGGAAGGGTGTTACTTTTGTTTGGGGGGCCGATCAGCAGACATCATTCGAGACTCTTCACCAGAGGTTGTGCAAAGCTCCGGTGTTAGCCCTTCCGAAGGGAGTGGAGGACTTCATGCTCTATTGTGATGCATCCACTTCAGGGATAGGTGGGGTGTTGATGAATACGGGTCACGTGATAACATACGTGTCAAGCAGTTGAAGCCTCACGAGACGAGGTATCCCACCCATGATTTGGAGTTGGGGCGGTGGTGTTTGCCCTCAAGATTTGGCGCCACTATCTTTATGGTGTCCGGTGTACCATATTCACGGACCATAAGACCCGGAAGTACCTGATGGATCAGCCCAACCTGAATATGAGACAAAGGAGATGGTTGGATGTAATGAAGGAATATGAATGTGAGATCTTATATCACCCAGGCAAGGCTATTGTGGTAGTCGATACCTTAAGTCGCAGAGCCGAGAGCGCTCCGATCCAGGATGTCTGTATGCGGATGACGGTGATGACTCCAGTCTTAGATACCATCCGAGAGGCTCAGGTGGATGCTGTGAGACCGAAGAACTGCAAGAGAGAGCGTGCGATTAGGCAGGTTTCCAAATTTGTGACGAACAGTCGTGGGCTTATGACTTTCCATGGACAAATTTGGGTGCCCTATACAAGTGGAGCTCACAATGTATTGTTGGATGAGGCACATAGATCAATATTCTCAATCCACCCAGGGGCCACTAAGATGTATTTGGACCTGAAGATAGACTATTGGTGGCCCTGTATGAAGAGGGATGTGGCATGGGTTGTAGAGAGGTGCTTAACCTGTCGTCAGGTTAAGGCGGAGCACCAGCATCCACATGGTCCTTTGCAGCCTTTAGAGATCCCTCAGTGGAATTGGGAACAAATTTCTATCGACTTTATCACCAAGTTACCGAGAACTACGCGTGGGGTTGACGCGATATGGGCGATTGTGGACCGGCTGATGAAGAGTGCTCACTTCCTTGATATCAGTAAGAGCTCGTCCACAGAGAGACTGGTTGAGACTTATGTGAGAGAGGTGGTAACTCGGCATGGAGTGCCGACCTCGATAGTGTCAGATCGAGACGTTCGCTTTACTTCTAGGTTCTTGAAGAAATTTCATGAGGAGTTGGGTACCCAATTGCATTTTAGTCTGCATACCATCCACAGACAGACGGGAAGAGCGAGCAGACAATTCATACGCTTGATGACATGTTTCGTGCATGTGATATAGAGTTCGGAGGAAGTTGGGACACTTATCTCCCCTTGGTTGTGTTTTCTTACAATAATAGCCATCATTCGAGTATTGGTATGCCTCCCTTTGAGCTTCTATATGGGAGGAGGTGTCAGACTCCCTTTTGTTGGGGAGAGGTAGGGCAGCGAGTGATGGGTGACACTGTGATAATACAGAAGACGACCGACCAGATTCAACAGGTTAGACAGAGGTTACTGACAGCCCAGAGTCGCTAAAAGAGTTACGCGGATCGGTGACGATCCGAGCTAGAGTTCCAGGTGGGAGATTTTGTCCTCCTGAAGGTGTCCCCATGGAAAGGGGTGATCCGATTCAGGAAATAGGGAATACATTTGTCCCTTGAGAGTGATCGCTAGAGTAGGTAGGGTGACCTACCGATTAGAGCTACCAGCAGAGTTGAGCCAGATTCACAACACCTTCCATGTGTCTCAGTTGAGGAAGTGTGTAGCCAATAAGACAGCAGTGGTACCCTTAGAGGACATTCAGGTGGATACGAGCCTGAATTATATCAAGAGGCCGATTGTGATTTTGGATCAGAAAGTGAAGGTTTTGAGAAGCAAAGAGGTGCCCCTGGTTCAGGTCCAGTAGCAGCATCGGAATAGATCCGAGTGTACATGGGAGCCAGAGTCCGAGATGCGCGAGCAGTATCTAGAGTTTTTTTCCAGAGCCTGACTTCGAGGGCGAAGTTTGATTCTAGTGGGGGGGGGGGAATTATAACATCCCGACTCCTAGGTATTTCTTTATTTATCTATTTATTATTGAGACTTCATGTGTGACTCGACGAGTTGTGAGCCTAACTCGTCGAGTAGAGTCCGATTATACCATGTGGGTTTAATGATCAACCCGACGAGTTAGAGAGGTGACTCGCCGAGTAGGCACTGTGAGGTGAAACCCTAAATCCCCGAGTTTGGGGCCTATTTAAGGAAACTTATGTCCTCATTTCCGCCTCACTAACTACCCTACTCCCGTGAGTGAAACCCTAATCGGCCTTTGAGCTAAGAGAGAGTGTTACAACTTATATTTGAGTGTTTTGGTGAAGCATTGGAAGGAGAAGAAGAGAGATTCAAGCAAGGGACGAGGAAAGGCTATGAGATTCAGTAATCATTCACTTGGAGCTTCTGTTGGAAGGTAAAAGTCGTCACCTTGCTCATCATGTTGTTTAGATCTTGCTAACGAGAAGTTTTTGGGGCTTTTTTCCATATTTCCTTGAGATTTGGTATGACTTGTGTTTGCCAAGCATTGAGACATTAGATATGGACATTGTGAGGTCCATAGAGTCCAAAGGTCCCAACTTTATCCAACTATAAAGGTTTATTGTGCTTAAACATCTTGGTTAGAGCTCTTATTTGGCATTATGGAGCAAACACACCATGCATGAACGTAAAGATTGAAGCTTTACATGACATTCGACCCTTGGGAGGCTAGATCTAGAGTTTAGAGATGCACTCGGCGAGTCAGGTCAACATGGATAGTTGACTCGAGCGTTGATTTCTCTTGACTTTAAGGTTTGGTCAAGGCAGGGAGAATGGGGACAATGGAGGGGTACATTTTAACTATCATCTCTTAAAGAAATACGACACTCCGATTGTCTCGTACAAACTAGAATGTCTCAGGCATGATAATCATTTCAGCAAACGTTAAAAAGTTGTGTCAGTTACCTAATATTCCACAAAAAAATATGTTCAATTCTATTATTATCTTTAGATATAAATAACTAAAGTAGTTAATTGATTGAGATTCTTTGTAAACATGTGGCAAAGTTTCCTTTGTTTGCAGCAGTAACGAGTTTAGAACGTATAACCATATGGTTCACTATATAACTGAAACTAATATAAAAAGAAAAAAAAAAATAATAATACTAGCTGAGGGGTCTAGATCGGATCAGGTCGTATTAGAAAAAGAGATTTAAAGTTTTTATAATTGTACATGACAAGATGGAAGCAACAATAGTTTATTATTATTATTATTATTATTATTATTATTATTATTATTAAATCTCTTTTCCTTTTTTTTTTATCTATATTTAAATGTAATGAGGTAAATAAATTCAACTTTGGGCTAATGAAATACAAAATATGGGCTAAATCTTACATATTTAAAACAAACAATTCATGGTAGGTCACAACAACAAATTAATGTGTCACATATGATTTTTATATATTAGTTGTAAACAATATTTAAAAGTTAGGTGGGTCACTTGTTCCTACATGGACTTGCCATTTGTTTGCAGGTTACCATTGCTACCCCGCCAGCAGCAGCACCTCCGACATCCGGTTAACTACCCTCCGTGACAACATCAACAGGTCAATCCACCGGTCAACCACATCTCCAGAAGAGCAAGAGTTGCACATGTCGGATGTTTAGAAATAATATCAAAACTAAAATCATAAATCATTAAGACAGGCATGGAAAATAATTCCTAAAAAAAGCATAAATAAATAGAAACAATGGTTGAGATTGGATCTGTACCGAATTTGGGTCAAAGCAGATGATGCATATTTAACGAATGGAAACAAAATTAGTCAAACATGAATGCCAAAGTGCCAAACGCCCAAACGCAAAATAATATTATATATATATCTATCTCATTCAATTCAGGTGGGGAGTGGGACCCTAGAACATGGGCCAAATTGTTGGTTTAAAACAACTACAATTGATTAATTTGCTGTTTCATCATATTCATTAACAAAAGTATCAAAAAAGCACAACTAATCTACACAAATGTTTTTACCTATACAAATGAAAAACGTGTGTTGTTATATGAGATTCTAAATGAAGCAAGCGGAATCAGGAATCAGGAGGATTGAGAAGGAGTCCGGTATATTGTGATTTCCTGCTGCTTAAAGTACCTGCGATCTTCTTCGTCAACAAGCACCAGATTCAAATAATATTTCACACTGAATTTGTTGTTGATATTGCGGTGTGTTGGTGTGAGTTCATATGGGCTCAGGAACAGCCTGATTGGAATCGATTCGCCTAAATTAAACACATTTTCAACTCAAATTAGACATTTGATTTGATTCCAAAAGTATGAAGAATACTTATTATTACCTCTGACAGGAGCTCCATCCATCAGCTCAAACTTTGCTAAGGTTTCTGTCTCCACATGAGTGTTAGCCCCAGAACCAGTGGATTCCCGTCTTCTGATCTCAAGATCCATATTCTTCAACTTTATTCTAACAAGCAGAAAATATATCTTCCCAATGATCACGTCTTTTAGATCATACTTGCTTTTGTTGTACTCAAACTCGATATGAAGGCAGTCTTCGATTCCAACTTCCATCTGTCTCATTCATTACATTTTTCATTTTTTTTTTCTCAATGCTTTTCTTGCTAAATCAAAAATAACACTCACCTTAATGCTATTGTTGATGTCTGGAGCTGGGGTGTAGTTGTGCACCTGATGCAATCAAAATCATACATACATATTACATATTACATATATAGATACATCACAATTCACAAGTAACCCTTTCTCTTACTACAAAATCTTGGTATTCCACTATGCTACCAGCATAACCACGATTGATGGTCACCTTTAACACATACCTGAGAGAATGAGAATGAGAATGAGATATCTTATTTTTACTTTACCTTCATCTGAAACTAAAACTTTTTTTTTTTTTTTTTTTTTTTAACTTACCTAAGTCGCACGTTTGCTCCATTGTATGTCTCGTACATCATTTCAACCGTTGAAAATTCAAAAGGATATGTTTTCTTTTCATACACTTCACCAGGAACATCCAGCTCACGAACTGCATAACACAACATAACAGATTCACATTGTAGTAAATCAGGTTACCCTTAGCCCTTAGGTAACAGAAACCTACCAAGGGAGGTAAAGTCATAGAAGTTGCCTCGGTCAAAATACATCTCTGCAAAAAACAAAAATAAAAATATATTATTATAAATCATAATATGCTAATTTGTTGTTACAGATTTAACACAAACTCACCAATCTGCCCAAGGAGCTCTATTTTGATACCGTTGTGTTCAACCTTCTTTCCTTGCGAGGGTTCTAAACAAATCTACAAACAATGGACCCCACACTTTCCATCACATGTGACATGACTAGCCTCTCAATAAAATGATCAAAGCAACAAAATATCGTCCATTGTCACATATGTACCTTCCCAGCAATGTTTTCTTGACTTTGGAAGAGGGGGACCAGTATTGTCTGACCATTTTCTTTCTTTAATGGAGCCTACATCACAAATATAGTCAACAAGCTTCCTTATGGATGCACAAAACCAGTACTATTCTTATTCTATCTTAAATTTTAACCAGTTCTCTTCCTACAGGAGAAGCAGTGATTAACAAACAATTAAAGAGCATGTGCTTTGTAAGCTGATGTTGCTATAAACATCAGAAATTTCATGGCAATAGACCATACTTAGCACATGAGATAAGCCCAATCTTCATGACATTAACTTGAAATATTGTTCATTCGGACATAACTGCTCACTAAGAATCATCACTGCTTGAGTTGTGTCAGATGCTTTAAATCAAGACTTACAGCACATTGATCCAATAAAAAGACCACTTATTATAATAATAAACTAACGATTCATCTATAAGATACCTGCTTGCGAGTTTTGGCATCGGCAAATGTGATTGAAATATTACAAGCCGGCTTGAAAGCTCCTAAAATGTAATTCTGAAACATACGAACGAAGCATCTTATACTCCAAGGCAACAGTTATAATATTAGATAAAATATAATCTTCAGGATGAGCTCTTACCATGCTGATAACGATCAATTCAATTTCCACTCTCAGAGCCCTAAACTCACTGATTTGATTTATTCAGAGCATTGACGTGTAAGTTAGCACGGTATAGATATGCAAATCGATTAAATTCAAGAGGTCAAAACCCTAATCATGATTACAAATTTTAAGAAAAGGCTCCAATCTGCTACTAAAAAAACCAAAATTCGTTACTTAGTGGTTGATCTAAAGATAATAACAAATTGGGCTGAGCAACATGTTGATATATATATATATATATATATATATATATATATATATATATATATATATATACAATCAAACAAACAGAGAAGCAAAGAAAGCAGGTACCTGAGACTGAAAGTTAGTCGGGGAAGATTGTGGACGGATCTGAGTGCTGAGCAAGTGATCCGAAGAGTTGATTATGGCAGGCAGCAATAGAGCAATAGAGGGGGCGGAGACGACGACCCCAATGTTAGGCAATAGAAGAAGACAAGTGCCAGATGTCCGTCGTGACGATTTCCTCTACTGCCTACTGGCGCGTGGCGTGGAAATCAGAATCCGGTAGTTTTAGGCCCATTCTTCTTCTGATCATCAAAGCATCAGGCCATGGCCCATAACACATGAACTGGGGACGGTACGACTTACGAGGCGTGTTCTGAATTAAGCCCTCCACTCCAGGGTCAACCTTACTTTTTCGTTTCATACATGTTTCAATTAGAAAAAATCACTGACTTTTTTCTACACCGTTTTTTTTTTCTTTGATACAGTTAAATCATTATTTTTTTAATTTGTTATCGTTTGATCGGTTTATTTCATATCATTACGTTGTCACTGCTGACGTGACATGAGAATGTGCCAGAAACAAAAAAAAAAAAAATGACAGCAAAAATCACCATACATTCATTTTTTGTGATTTGGACATTAAGTGTTCAATCTTTTCCAATTTTGATATTGAGTTTTCGATTCCTCCAATTCGCAATATAAATGAAATAAACATATGGAAAGATATAATTGCTTCATTCACCCATAATATAATATGTACAGTAGATTATAAAAAAAAAACAATATAAATAAAATAAACATATGCAAAAACATAATTGTTTTATTTTTTGTACTTGATTTTCTTTCTCTTTTCAAACCCATTACCACTCTCATCAAATGTGTAACAACCCAAAAAATTAGGATTGAAAAATTTAAATTTCAAATTTCAAATTAATAAAATCATTATCCAAAACAACATCATAGAAACATAGTGAATCAGAATGTATCAATAACATCCAAGTACGTCAAAGTAATATAAAATGTGGAACAATGTGGTGTGTGCACTGCAATCATCTCGAGCTTTTCTATTTTGAACCAGAAGTACCTGAAACATAAACTGAAAACAGTAAGCACAAAGCTTGATGAGTTCCCCAAAATACCACATACCATACATATTAAACATATAATGGGCCCGCCTGACATCGAGTCCCGCTCGGAGCAAATCTGTCAGTCATCAGGCCCCGACTGGCATCGGGCCCCGTTCGGTTTACATACAAACATATAAACACATGCAAAAATCACAAAGATAAATAACATACAAAAGAATCATCAGGGTCCGCCCGATATACATATAAACACATAACACATGCAAGAGTCACGCATACAACTAGCATCCTAAACATATTAGCAGACATTGGTGTCTTCGACCTGCTAAACAGAGTGAGGAAACTCACCTCAAACTGCTGAATCTCTCAGATAAAATCTCGATCCGCTGATCCAGAAAATCCTTGCGCTAACATCATCAATAATACTCAATTAATAATTAGGTATTGTGACATCCCCAAAATCACGGCCAGAAAATACCGGTTTCATTTATGCTTTTAAAATATATTTTCAGAGTAAATATTTTTCATTTAAAAGAGTTGCAGAATTTGTTCCCAAAACAAAATATGATAAAATAAAGTTTATCAAAGCATTTTATCAAGATATGCATTTTCATTATATAACAATATTCGGGATGTCATGTTCCGATCAACAGACCAAAAGCATAAACAACAAAAGACAGCCCATACAACAGTTACATATAACAACTGGTCTAATATCAAAAGATCTTGATAAGTCATCCAACTTATGCTCTCGCGCCACTACCTGTAATATAACAAAACTGAGTTGGTCAGGCTTGGGAGCCTGGTGAGCATATAGAGTTTTCAACCCACAATAAATAATTATATTTAATTTCACCAACCAACAATAACCCGATTACCCATTCCCGTTATCCTCACTTTACGTACCTAAAACAACATCTATTACAAGGGACCTAATCTAGGATTTTCATCGGAACGGACATTACTGCAAGGGGTTTCCTCAACAATAGATGTCCTAAAGGCAACCATGGGATAGATAGAGTACACCGGTGAGCACATCGTTCACAACACGTACAGGTTATGAACCTGCTAGCATTCCACATGACTGTCTAGAAAGAGACTATGGTCGTTATCCATACTCCATTGAATAACTAGATCAACAACAACAACATCAAGGCCTCTCATATGTTTATCATACATCAACTATCTACTCATGTTCTACCCAACATATTAGTAGATAAAAATATATATTTTTATACATAGTTTAAAACCTGTATAACATTCTCATTCAATACATATTCCAAACTACAGATGTGACACATACACATAACATGTATTTCATAGAGAATAAATCATATCTATGAGATAGAAGAAAGTGAATATACATTCACACATATAACAACAAAATATACACATAACGCGTATTTCATATAAAATACTTCATAATTATGCGTTAGAATAAAGTAACTACACACTTACTTGATCAAAAGATGATTAGGCAGCACTACGGCTTGTAGAAGTAGTATTCTTCGGTAGATCTGGAAGATCTTCACACACCGAGCTTCTCGCAGGCAGAGCTTCGGCTCAGAAACTCTTTTCTTCTCGGGATCTTTGGGCTTCGGGACTCGCTTCAGGTCTCGGGATGATACCGGGGCTTCGGGGGTTAAAATTGGGCTTAGAGAGGGTATCGGGAGTGGGAGAGTAAGGGAATATCCACGAAAATCGGATGCCCTTCGATTTCTATTTATAGGGCTGAAATACTGAATTCACGTCGTGAAATCTCAAAATTGACATCGTGAGTTCAGTCAAGCATTCGTCATTGCGTTTGTCCTCAGTCCACTTGCTCTGGAAGGCCCCAGAAGGCGTCAGTACTGAGTTCACGTCGTGAACACTGTTTTCACCTCGTGAACTCTGACACAGTGTTGGGGTTCACGCCCGGAACTTCAGAAATTCATAATTTTTGTATACGAGCTCCATTTTCGACATTTCCTTTTTTCCATGCGTAGATAAAAACAAGATCTACAACTTTCGTTTAGACTTCGTCGGCTAATTTTGACTTTATTTTTATTATATATTTATTATATTATTTTTAATAAGTCGGAACAAGAAAACCGTGTTAGAAAATCATAACTCCTTCGTTTGACGTCCTTTTTCGTCTGTCTTTTCGTCGTTGCACAACTATTGATGAGATTGTCAATTCTCATTTAGAAAGTTTTGGCTAAATATCGCTCGATCTGATATTCGAACTTCGGGTTGTCTACTACTAAGCTGAAACTTCGAAAAATCATAACTTCCTCATACGAAGTTAAATTTGGGCGTTCTTTTTATGTACGTTCTCGTTTTAACATATTCTACAACTTTTGTTTAGATCACCAAGGCTAGATATTGATCTATCTTAAATCCGTATTTTACGTCATTCAGTGTCGTGTCGGTTCTGTCGCGAAACTTCGACAGGTCATAACTTCTTCGTTATAACTCGGATTTCGACATTCTTTATATATTCGGAAACCTCGTCACAACCACTACGTCTTCATGTATCGATATCGGGCTTATCTAACATTTCATTTTGACGCTTATTTTTATCCTTAATTCATTTAGGTCAGACAATTAAGCACAAAACACATAATATTCAAATAATACATCTCTATTATTTCAAGATGGGTTACAAAGGTTAACTTAGACTATTACATCACTATTAATGACAAGCCCAGAAACACGGGTGTTACAATTCTCTCCACCTTAGAATGATTCCATCCCCGGAATCACATATCAACAAACAAATGCGGATAGCGACTCATCATGTCACTCTCCGTCTCCCATGTGAGATTTGGCCCATTCGTATGTTTCCAACGGACAAGCACTAACTTGACCATCTTGCGTCGTAACTTCTTAGTCTTTCGGTCAACGATTGCCTCTGTTCTTCAATTAACCTCTTGTTTTCATCAATTCTCAACTCCGAAAGTGGAATCATGTCGGGAACTCTCCCGTGAACTTCCTCAAATAACACACATGAAAAGTGTTATGAATACCATTCAGTTCTTCGGGTAATTCGAGTTTGTAAGCTTGGTTCCCAATCCTCTGAAGAACGTTAAACGGTCCAATAAACCTTGTACTTAACTTTCCCCTTTTACCAAATCTTATAAGTCCCTTCCATGGCGAGACTTTAAGCAAAACCGAATCTCCAACTTCAAAAGTCATTGGTCTTTGCTTTTTGTCATCATATCTCTTTTGACGATCCTGAGCCGCTAACATTCTTTCCCTGATTATTTTCAGCTTTTCAACAGTTTGATCGACTATCTCCGGTCCCATAAACTGCTTTTCCCCAGCCTCAAGCCAACAAGACGGTGTACGACACTTCTGTCTGTACAGAGCTTGATAAGGTGTCATCTTTATGCTCAAGTGGAAACTATTATTGTAGAAAAAATCTACCAAAGGTAAATGTTCATCCCAATTACCTAGGAATTCCAGGGTACATGCTCTCAACATAGCTTCAAGTGTTTGTATCATTCTTTCACTCTGACCATCGGTCTGTGGATGGTAAGTTGTACTTAAATACAACTTGGTACCCAATTCCCCTTATAGACTTTTCTAAAATCTTGAGTTAAAACGTGTGAAAACTCAAAATTTTCATTCGGTCAAACCCTAGAGTCAATCATTTCAAATTATAAGTCAAGTTCACTTTTATTGGTTTCTAGAAAATTTAAAGTTCGTTTTACTATTATAATAATTATTCTTTAAATGAATGGGTGAAAGAATGTACCGTCTCGAGTCTTGAAATTTCAAAACCGCAAACACCTCATGCCTTAGAAGTTCACGGCCAAACTTTTATGTTTAGGCCGAAAAATCTTCCAAAAACCGCTCCCCAAATTACCACACTTCTCATTTTCACCCTAAAGAGTAAACTCCAAACTCTCTCAAGTATCATCCCGGTTTTCACCCGATTTCCCGAAAACGTAAGTGTTTCTCGACTTGATTAGTTGATATAACATAACATCTAATGATTATACATCCTTTAATCCATCCATTTATGTGTTTTGACTAGTTTTCCAAAACACCAAAAACACCAAGAACACACACTAGTGTTCTTGGACTTTTAGCTCATTTCAAGCTTCCTTATAGTAAGTACTTCCATCCTTGAATCTTATTAAGCTTGTTATACATGTTTACATCAAGAAAATGTCACTAGAACACAAAGAGTAAGTTGTTCACGGTCCAAGAATGTTCTTGGGCCGTAAACACCAAATAAGGGCACCAAAGTGTGCCTAAGTCTCTCTCTAGCCCTAGATTGATGTTTAAATCCTTCCTTCAGGTGTTTAGGCCTTGAAAAACACCAAAGTCCATAATTTTTATGTGTTTA